GTATGTAAATCGATCAAAATGGATGAAAGAACAGTAAGAAAATGAGTCGAATTGAATTTTGAGCTCCTTATGAGTGTACATATTGTAATGTATATTTTAAAATTTTATTAATATAATATCAGACTGTCATGATTATATTAATCAGATTTGGAACAAATTTAAGAATATGTACAGAGATTGTAAAACATTTGACAGAGATCACAAATATGAATGAACTTCAATATTTAGTGGAACCACTTTTAATACATATATATTATATACGTGTTAGATTATTGTTTATGCTGTTTATTAATTTTCTATCAAACATACCTACATCTTTTTTATAGATATTTTTAGACATGTTTCGAATCTAATTAATATAATCATTAATACAGTTAAAGTGAAGTTTCAAAATGTTTTATATAACATGATATGTACATAAAAGTTTTTTATACTTTCGTGATCCATAAATGTCTCTATAAATTTATAACATTATAAAATGTAGAGAATGATTTTATCACTCTAAGTACATATAATGTGGAAGTTTGCATGAGGGAAGCTTATTCCTAAGTACGAACCAAGGTTTACTAGGATGGAAGACACGAGAGGATGATATTGAAGGAGATGGTTGGCAAGACAAAAAAGTGAGGGCGAAGACAAAGAACAGTTCTTTCCTTGCCACTAAATTTATCACCCACCAGTAATTCCATCAATGCTTTAGAGCATCAGAGTAAAGTCTGAATCACATATTTCGATCTATAATTAAAAAGTTGCGTTCCAAAAATACAATTCTTTCTTTTCAACGTCAAAACTGAAATATCAAATTTAACACAATGAATGACATGAAATAAATGTAGCTAAATTCCTGATATTTATAAAAATTACAAACAGACTGCAGATTTCCAATCATCTATAATTTATGGGAAAATTGCAAAATAGAGTATTTATTACATTATATAATCGATAAAACGAGTCTCCGTTCAAGTTTTGTCCTCTTAATTACAGTTTGTGAGAATTTGAAAATGCATAAAAATTTTCACAGTCTATTGCAATAGAAAATGCAACAATAGACAGCGAAGATTAGCGATTACGCTGGCGCGTCTTTGTGTAAACGGGCCAGTCGGCATTTAATACCAGCCCGTTGAATATTCCACCGAATGGACCACGATATTGAATTGGCTGCTGCTTAATTGTAACCTCGCTCGTCGCGAGGGTCCCATTCACTTGTAAACGGCATTTGCATAATTTTTACATTGGCCACCGTGTAATCGATTTGAATACCGTTGGTGATATCCACTTCCTTCTTTAATCGATTCGAATCCGTACGGGCTTCTGTCCCTCTTTACGTCGATTGTTTTAGTTAGAATTGCTAAGTAATCATTGCGAGATGGGCGAGAATCGATAACAATAATGAACCGCGACACGTGAAACCATCGAGACGCTTGAATTTTCATGACCACAATGAATTCTCCTGTAATGATCTCACGTATCTTTTTTTTTTT